CGTGGCCCTCCGCACCTGACCCCGGGGCAAGCAGACCAGCCGGTGTCACCGGCCCACTCCATTCACTGCCCCTCAAATCCGAGTGGCCTTGAGCCAGGCACCTACACCCATCCGCAAAGCAGGGCAGTCACACTCCCTCTCCGGTTGAGAAACGCCTTTGAGATAATTACTTTCACCTGTCACCTGTGTCTTACTCGTACCTTATCTAGTCTATCAACCCTCTGAAATGCCGACTATTGCTATGCCCATTTTCCTCCAGGAAATCGAGGCTGAATATGTTAAAGACGGAAAAATGCCTTGTAAACTGCAAAGCACCAAATAAACATGTCTCTTAATCTCTCTTACACACACACTCTTACACACACACACACACACACACACACAGGTGGGAGAGTTCCCAGGCAGCGGGGAGATGGAAAGACGCAAGGCCTCATGTGATCCTGTGGTTCGCAAAGTGGGCTTGCTGCACCTTCCCCGCTGCCTCCACAACCTTCCGGAAGCATCCTCTCTTCACAGCCCCAGGGATCCCAAGCGAACAAAAATCCTAGAATCCTGAACGCCCATGTCATCCTTCCCAGGTGAGACCAGCAAAGTCCTTCCTGACACCTAACCTCAGCCCCTCCCAGTAGCACTGCTAGACCCTTATCTGGGTGCAGGTGGCAGGCAGGCACCGGGCCCAGGGAATGACTCAGAAATCCAGTCCGTTCAGACCTGCACGTGGAGGAGCGACTTGTGTGGTGCTGAACAGGTGGCAGAGAGAGCAGTGAAGTGGGTCAGGGTTGTTTGTGGTGCCTTCCCCTGCCTAGAATCTGCTCTGGGCTGAACCGATTTGGGGTTAAGTTTTACTTCCTTCATCGAAGGGGGCCTGGAACACCAAACAACACCCAAGACAAAAAGGGACCCTGGTGGGCATGATGGCAGGGAGAGGACAGACACGGGCTGGGCTGGCAGGGGCAGGACTGAGTCACACTCCTTAGGCCACTGATACTACACCCTTGAAAAGTCAAGGCGCGGTCATATGTGTATTAATAGAGCAAACCAAAGACACTCCATTCACAATTCCAGAAT